TAAGCAACAATCTGGATCATTTCGATGGTTCTTGAATGTGTGACGTGTCAGAGGCGTCTCCAGCATGCATGGTGGTTCTCCCCCTATTTGTGTATCGGTGGTGGGTTTAAAATTCTCTGATGTCATCCAGGTTACATGGGTCATTTAATAATTTGCAAGGTGAAATTAATCACAGGCAATTTCTCTTTCATGCTGTCTCAAAAGGTCACTTAATAAATACCTCATTGACATCCTTGGTGGCCTGCGTCTCTCTCCTGGGCAACTTGATCTTCTGAACTCAATTAAAATAGATTTATACCTGTGATACTTGGAAGCAGAGTAGGAAATACAAGACCAGCCAGGACGGGAAGACCCCCAAACTTGCAATGTGAATGGGACATGCAGGGGAACATGGGTTCTGGGAGATTTTTAAGGCCAGGGTCAATGATGCAGTCTGCTGGACCGACATGGCCATTGACAGACCTTCTCAGCTGTGCCAAGGGAATAAGGGACTAACAAGGCTTTCAAGTTTTGCTCTTGGGTTTTGTGATAGCTTAGCTGAGATCCAAAAGGTAGGGAGGTAAAGTCAGAGAATAAAGGAAGTCATTAAGCAGAGCCTGGGTGGTTTTCTCCTTGTCTTTGATGGCATTCCTACTTCACACTAGCAGTTTAAATACAATACCTTTTTTTTTTTTTTGCAAGATTGTTTCTATTTTTAATTAAAAGCAAAAAAGGTTGTGTTTCAGCTAGTTGGAGATCTTTTGTTAAAGCACAGTATGTTTTACAAGTGGAATCTATGAAAAGCAAGCACCACTCAGCTGCCTGTGTTATTTCACTTCCTCCGAAACTGCAGTGATGGACTCCAGCTCTTCAGGATTGAATAGTACATCGCTGGTGGTAGGAATGCATGAGGCTTCTGTACTCCAAGTCAGACCTTTTGCTTTTCTGACACAGTACTGTCTGCGCTAACTAGCAGTGCCCTAGAAGGCTGTCCTACATGGAAAGGCTGGGCATTATACCTGGGACCCTTTGCATGCAAAGAATGTGCATGCAAATGGAAATGGAAAATTTGTTTCCATTTCTAATCAAAAGCAAAAATGTCTACATTTTTGGCCCTCAACCATCTCACACCTCTTCACCTTCAGCCATCCTGTCTCTACCTGCAATAAAAGATTTGGGTATCCAAAAAAAAGAGATGGCATTGTGTAGTGGTTACAGCAATGGTGGCACCCATTCAGCCTTCCAGCATAACCAATGGGAAGGGAGTTGCAATCCAGGGACATCTGGAAGGCCGCATGATGCCAACCTATGGGGCCAAGCATCGGACGGGGACTTGGCTGATCCACATCTAATCCCCATTAAGCCATGAGACTCACTGGGGGATCATGGGCCTGTCAGTCAGCCTGGCCCACCTCACAGGGTTCCTGTGAAGGGAAAGGAGGGAAGAGGAGAGGCAAGAGTGACACCATGAGCTCACAGGAGGAAAGGCAGGGTTGAAAATGTATTTCATAAATAAGCATTGAAATTGATTAGAATGTATTTGGGACAAAGGCTTGCTCTCTGCAACCTCTCAGAAATTAATCTCTGGACCCTTTCTTTGCAGAAACCTTGGAATAATCTCTCTATTGTCCCTCTCAATGGGGGAAACAATGTGGTCTCTCCATCCCTCCCAAGAACTTTGCCGTAATATCCATGGTCACTATGGCAACTCCCAGCAGCCTCGGCTTCCTGCAGTCCAAGGGAAGGACCGGCCTTTGCGCAACGCAAAGGAGGCGAGGAGGCATTTTAGGCACGGCTGCATTGCAAACAGCAACCACGATTCATGGGCATCACCCGTCCCCTTAAAGTGTAGGAGGGCCCAAAATCCCCCGTGAGTCAGAGCCAAAGACTCACAGTCCCACTACACAATGACAACATTGATGTGGTTCCACCTTAACTGCCATGGCAACATCCTAGGGAACTCTGGGGTCTGCAGTTTAGCAAAAGGTATCAGAGAAACCAGTGGGACATAGTGCTTTGAGCACTGGACCCCACGCTGGAGACCAGGGTTCAAATCCCCACTAGAAGATGGAAACCCATTGAGTGACCTTGGGCAAGTCACACACCCTCAGCCTCAGAAAATCCCGTTATAGCTTTGCCTTAGGGTTGCCAGGACTTGAAGGCACACAACGACAACAAATGGAGAGTTCTCAGCCAGAGTGCTTTCATGCCTCAGCAAACTAAAACCAAACCCAGGACTCCATGAGATGCAGACCAAGCAGTTAAAGTAGGATCATAGCACTATAACTCTGTAGTGTGAAAGGGGCCATGGTGAAGGGCAAGGGTACCAAAGAGTACCAGTTAACAACAACAAAAAGTTTTGATGCAGTGTTTTCTGTCCTGTTTGTCTGTGTCCATGCTCTGTGTCCATGTCCATGTCCTGTTAAGAGTTATTTGGATCTGTCCGGAGGACTGGAAACCAAGGAGAGAAACGTCCCCATTCATCCCAGCACCCTTTTGACAATGGGGCGCCTTCTGGGAAACCCATTTCCCAGCTGCTCCTCTGATTCGAGAGACTTCTTTTCTTCTGTCGGCATCTGAGACACATCAACAGCCAACTTCACTTTGCTCAGAAGATATGCACAAGATCATTGGGGACTCCAAGTCACCAGCAGTTTCCCAGAGATGAAAGAGAGAGCAACACATATGGCATTTAATTATTAACTTTATTTCTTTTCACTCTCTTTTCCTCCTTCCCCATCTACGCTCCCCACTTGCAGAAAAAGAAAAAGAGAGAAGGAAAGATCTACTACCTAGAATCATTCTGGGATGATAAAAGTGTTGGTGTTTGGATTGCAAAAGATGCAAAGAAGGGAGAAAGCATCTAGAAAGGGAACTTTCAGTCCACGGAGAGACATTTCACAGTTAAACTGAAGAGAGGAAGAGGAATTTGTCAGCCAGAAAATGGAAAAGAGGGGCATGTGCAGGGAATTCGTGGCAGCGAAAGCATCCTCAATGGAAAGGATAAAGGGCAAGAGAGAAGCTGTCAAATCATGAATAACGCATTTGGTTGGGTCTCGCCTTTCCACGGGGGGCTGCACCCCAGACACAAGTGGGTTTCTGACAACCCCCAGAATAGGCAGGCCTTGGGGCCAACATCTCCCCACTTTCCAGATCTTCCTCTGGGATCACAAGGAAATTGGGGGAAGGCAGGGCATGGAGACACACCGCCAACGGAGTCAACACCTCCATATGAAACGAGGAGAGGAGAGGAGTGGAGTGGATGATGGGCCATTGCTCTCTTTAGGGTGGGACACAGAAGGAAGCCTGCAGGCCACATGCAGCTCCCAGGGCTTATTATTATTATTATTATTATTATTTCTTTAGGGTGGGGTAGAAAAGGAAGCCTGAAGGCCACATGCAGCTCCCAGGGCCTATTATTATTATTTGCTTGCTTGCTTGCTTGCTTTAGGCTGGCACAGAGAAGGAAGTCTGTAGACCACATGAAGTTCCCAGGGCCTATTATTATTATTATTATTATTAATTTCTTACCCGCCTCTCCCCATGGATCAAGGAGGGGAACAACAACAATTAACAGACAAACAACATCATTTAACAACATATCCGTTTAAAAGGACAAATAAGATGTACATGTACTAAAAAGTTGTATGGCCCCTAGAGTACCCCAGGACTTTGTTGCTGTTGTTGCTGTGTGCCTTTAAGCCATTTCCAACACAGGGAGATCCGAAGGCAACCCTTTTGCAGGGATTTCTTGCCAAGATTTGTTCAAAGGGGGGTTGCCACCATTGCCTTCCTCTGAGGCTGAGAGATTGGGACTTGCCCAAGGTTGCTCAATGGAAAAGTTTCCATGGAAAAGTGGGGATTTGCACCCTGGTCTCTAGACTCCTTGTCCAGCACTTAAATCATCACAGCATGCTGGTGTAATAAGGGAGCATATTTCAAATAGGTCAATAATAAACATCAACACATGTACGCCCAGGAGTCCAAGAGATGAGAGTTCAAATCCTTACTCAGCCACGGAAACCCCCTTGGAAGACTTTGGGCAGCAAGTCACATTCTCTCAGCCAACGAAGAAGGAAACGGTAGCAAACCTTAGAATAAATCTTGCTAAGCAAACCCTAGGACTAGGTCTCCCAAACCTGGAATTGACTTGAAGGCCCAGAATTACAACAGCAAGCCTTTCTGTCCATACCTGTGGGCCAGGTATGACTCCTGTCTCCACACCTTGAGACCAGCACAACGTTCCTGGGTCCTTGTTTTAAAACCCAAAACAATCCCTCTGGTTGTAGAGGAGACTTATAGCGAATGTCTGTTTGTTTCATTCCTGCCCCAATTATGTCCTTTTTTCTGTAGGACTCCTCACCCTTGGGAGGGCAAGGAAGGGAAATGGAAACAAACACAGGGACCCACAAACAAATGCACTTTTCCTTCCTAAAGAGCAAGAGACATTTTCCATGACGCCTTGCCAGGCTTTGCAGAAAATGACAAAAGAAATGTTTTAATAAGCGGGATGCTCCGAATGGGTGCCGGTGTCGCGTGTCAGCCTCCATTTGCAACACGGGTGACAGACGCATCTCTGGATAATAGCGGCTTCTTCGTACTCAATGGAGCTGGATTGGAGCAATTGAGCGGCGGAGGAAGATTACCAGCAGTTAGGGATATTGCTTGTCATGTTCCCTTCGGCAGATGCCTTTTACAATTGACCAGCCACACGCATTTCCAGAAGAGGGGCTGGCCACGTTTTCTGCTGCGAAATGAGACCTCCGAGTGGCCATCTCGAAAGAGCCATCGCCAGCATTTATTGTAAACCTTCTTGGGAAAGTGGTCAACCATATAGCTCCAGGCCTTTGGCAAGATCATCCTTGTTGTTTGCTGTTGTGTACCTTCCAGTTGTTTCCAACTTATGGTGACCCTAAGGTGAAACTCTACTGGGGTTTTCTTGGCAAAATGGGGAGGTTTGCCATTGTCTTCCCCTGGGGCTGAGAGAGTGTGACTTGCACAAGCTCACCCTGTGGGTTTCATGGCCGAAAAGGAATCGAACCCTGATCTCCAGAGTCATTGTCTAACACTCAAACCACTATGCCATTTATCTCCCTGTATAAACCAGCCCAAGTCTTGAGACCTTCAGGGGAGACCTTCCTCTCTGTCCCATCATCCTCAGACGCCTGCCTGGTGAGGAGAAGGGACAGGGTCTTCTCATTGGCTGCTCCCAGGCTGCACAATTCGCCCTTGGCTCTCCTGTTGCCAGCAGACGCAGGCCTTTCTATTCAAACTGGCTTTTTGTAATCACAACCACATGTGTAAGGGAAAGCATATGGAAATATCCCAGTTCTCCAGCCAGGGAACTGTTAAACATGGAAGGAAAGAAGATGCACTTCAATGGCTTTGTGCCGACCAGTGGAGACCGGTTGTTCCAATGTCAATGGACTGGTCAGTCTGCTCTGGGTTTTAATCTTAACCTTGACAGAGCCATCAACTCTCCGATCCTGAACCTATTGTGGAGGGAACAGGTCCTTTGAATTTGAACTGAAGCCCAGAGGAGATTCAGTGCCCCACTGATATTGGAGCTACCAGCCTCCATCAAGACCTAGAGAGGCCAAAGCAGAGCAGGCAGATAGTGAGGGCTACTTACATTATGTTGAGAGCTGGAGTTTGGGGAAATGAAATCGCCACGTTTGCAAGCAGCTTTTTTACATTTGGGAAGAGGTGTGTGAAAAATCAAAATAATTTGAGGAAATTCAAGGGGCTTAAGGGGAATGCCAGGGCAGCAAAAGTAGAGTTCACGACACATGGCTATGGGACACATTTTCTCCACACCTGCACAAAATGGCCTTTGCTCCTTAATCGAGCACCGCCCATCCATTCATATTCAATAACAAGCAAGTGATTTCATATCTCTCTATCTCTTTTTCACACACACACACACACACACACACACACACACACACACATACCGAATCTCTCTCTGGTCCATTCTGTTTCCTCTTTGGATTCTGGGGACATTTCAAGATGATCAGGTCCTTTGTTTAAAGCCCACCAAAGCTGCTTTGAGATGCTTCTCAGAAGCCTCTTTTTAAATGGGAAATGAAGACCAGTCAGGGGGAGAATTGTCTTCAAAAAGATCTAATCTTCCTTAAAATTGGCTGCGTAGTTCCCAAATGGCAGCTGTGATGATGTCTGAGCCTCGGCACCGAAACGCCCGGTTATGAGAGTCACGGTTCTGTGAGCGGGGCTGGAATTAAAGGGTGCTTCTCTCCCCCTCCTGCTCCATTGAAGGGCTGCTTGTCAAACACTCCTCAGGTTGAGCCACGGGCCTTACGTGGACTAAGCCTTGTGAGATGCCTCTCTGCCTTTCACGGCTCAGCTCTGAGCTCTCGGGTCATTGTTCACCAAGTTGCAAAATTAATGTAATGGGCAAGATCTAGTCAACTGGGTTGGGTAGAGTAGGTCTCAGCATTCGGAGTCATGGATTGCTTGTGCTACACAACACTTCTTCTGGATGGCAGCATTGTACAGTGGGATCAAAGTCACCAGATGTGCAACCAAATAAATGCACAGCTAAAAAAAAGTGCATGCACATCCATGTACACCTACCAACAATGTGCACCCGTGTGTAATGCTACCACCTGCACAACTCCGCTCCCACAGCATTGAGCTGAATGAAGATATTCCACATCAGGCAAAAACTCCTAAAATGTCTGTAGGGGGAAAACACACATGCACACAGGGCTGGTAGTCAATGGGATTCCAGCAAAGGGATATGCACTAGTGTTGACAGTTGGAATACAGCTGAAGAGCTTTACTTGTTAGCAGATCCTGGAGCAGGTAGAGGTACAGTTAAGTTCCATCAGGGCACCACAATTCAAAAAGGATGTTGACAAGCTGGAATAATTCCAGAGGAGGTCAACCAAAATGGTGGAAAGTCTGGAAACCACAAAAGCCCTTTGAGGAGCAGCTTAGGGAGCTGGGTATGTTTAGCTTGGCGAAGAGAAGGTTAAGAGGTGATATGATAGCCATTTTTAAATACCTGAAAGCATGCTATGTTTAAGATGGAGCCACCTTGTTTTCTGCTGCTCCGCAGAATAGAACTCGGAACAATGGATGCAAGCTAGAAGAAAAGAAATTCCACCTAAACATTAGGAAGATATTCCTGACAGTAAGAGCTGTTTGATGATAGAAGATGCTGCCTCAGATGAGTCACCTTGGGTCTTTCTGGGAGAAAAGCAGCATAGAGGTAAATAATAATAATAAATAAGAGGATGGTTGGGTCTCCTTCTTTGGAGGTTTTCAAACAGAGGCTGGGAGTGCTTTGAGCATGTATTCCTGCATGGTATGGGGTTGACTGGATGTTCTTTGGGGTCTCTTCCAACTCTAGGATTCTAGGATTATATGATACATAAGTTGGTCTGTTTCTGAAACAGGTTTTAACAAGCTGGGTGGTTTCTATTCCCTACATCCAAGTCTTCCACTAGAGCAGACCCATTGAACTAATGGATCTTACATCTGTGTGTCACCTTATTAAACTCTGACTGACTTGAGGAGCTGCTCGAGTTTGTGATTATCGAGTGGATTTAGGCCTCTGACTTTTGTTGTTGTTGTTTTGTTATTGTTAAATGTGACATTTTAAATCTATGTTTTGCTTGTAGTTTATTCATGTTGGACACCTTGCCCCTGCCATTGTTGGCAGAGAGGTGAAGAACAAAGAAATAAATGACAACCAAGCCTTGTTATCCCTTGCATTGGGAAGGAGGACCAAAGGTGAGAAGGGAGGCAGGAGTGGAAGCCGCCTCCGTCTTATTAGGCCCTCCAGCCATCCTTGGGGGGCCTTGGTTTGCTCCTCACACCAGAGCTTCTGCCAGGATAAATTTGTCAGTCTTGCAAGTGCCACAAGACGCTTTTGTAGTTTTTGCTGCAGCAGCCTTACATGCCAGCTTGGCCCTCTGGATGTTGTTATCACATCTAATGATGTAGCTGTCTTGCTTCAGAACTGTATATGCTAATCTTGTACTAAAATGGAGAAGCTTGGGCTATTTTTAGCATTTCTGTACTGAGAACAGTGGCACTCAAAATGTGCCAACAAAGTGTGAAAAATCTGCCTTCCATTATTATAATGGCACGTCTAGTTGAAACAGGGTATTCTCAGGATCCCTGGGTGAGGGTTTGCCCCCAAAAAACCTTGCATTTGTCACTTGCTCATTTAATTTGCTCACACACACACACACCCATATTCACATCTCATGCATTGAATATCAGACATGTATTTGCTTTCCCGCGTGCTCATGGGTAGCATCTCTGAACTTGAGGACGCAAGGGATTTCAGAACCAGCAGGTGAGCAATTGCTAGATTATTTACCCTTCTAAAACAAAAAAAAAGTGGTACACCCAGGTTGGAATCCTGTTATTATCTTCTGCAGGCAGAAGTTCTCCTGAGGAATCAGTTGGTCATTTTTGTCCAATGCAGACAAAATTGCATATTAAGTTGAGGACTGCAGAAACAGAGTCACGCATCCAATGACAATGTACATGGACAAACATGGTGACACATTTGGCACCCTCATTCAGTCATGCAATGTTGTCATTCAACAGAAGAGTTGTGCAACATGATTAATGCATGCAGTGAGTTACACAACGCAGCTCCAGTGTAGGCTCTTGCCTCAAATCTCAAGCTCACCTGCTCCCCTTCCTCCAAGCCCTATGAGGCCCTGCTAGAGAAGAACAAAGCCAACCCTTTCTTGCTACTTCCTTAACTGTGTTTATTTGTCTTCTTTCCTCACTCTTTTCCATTGGTGTGTGTGTCACATTTGAGCGTGTGTGTGTGTGTGTGTGTGTCTCCCACTAAATGCTCAGTTGCCAGAGGGGGCCACAGCCAATAACTGCACCACCTCTTAAGCATGATCGATGGGGAGCTCTGTGGTAATGTGGTCAGGCGGCGAATCTGGAACACCCCAAGGAACCAGAGATACGCAATCAGGTCTTGCTCACTCAGGGTTCCCATCCATCATTTGCAAACAAGGTGGGGGGAAGGAAGGCTCCTTTGGGGGCCCCAGGGAAGAAAGAGCATCAGAAGGAGAGCTTTTACCACCATTTCAAAGCAAGAAAAAGGCAGGGGGCTTAAACTTCAGTCTCACTGTCTTTCTCTGCATCCATTGAAATGGAGCAACTAGCCAGGGATGCTGCTGTCTTCATGCATTTGTGGGATGGACCCTTTCACTTAGGATGTACTTCTTTGCAAATTTTTCTCTTTCATAGAAGAACAAATAATTTCAAAAGGTTCTCTCCTCCGGACAAGATTACAAAATGTTTTGCATATTTTCCCACATTCTATGCCTTATTTGCAGAAAATTCATTTGTACTCTCACATCCACAGAAAACACCATCTCGATATTTCCGCAAAAGACAGTGGTAGGTATCTTATGCAGAGTTCCCCCACCAAAGTGATGGAACAGTTTGATTGAAACAGCTGTATTCAGTTCAAGGTTTTGGAAGCAGAGTTGACCATTCAGTGCCATGATGCATGGAAGAGCATGGACATGGCAGATGTAGGTTTTGCATGGATGTGAATTTCACACTGAAGATGCACATACATGCTGGTTTTATGCTGTGTTGAGCAACATCACAATTCACAAATGAGGTGGCATTACATAACTGCCACATAGTTCTGTAAGCTTACATTGACATTCCATATCTTCAGTGCAAGTTCTCAGCCATTGTATTTTGTGTGAAAGAGTTGAGAAAATCAAGAATTTGTGCAGAAAAATCAGGGCTGGAATTCACTATCACAATTTCAAATGTGTGATCTAGAGTTACCAGTCAGTAACTGATATGTGTTCATGTTTCCTACATATTCACAATTGTGGCAGTATTGCTGTGACTGCAAAAGTCCCTCACTCCTGAGTTACTGGGCAGCAGCCACTGCAAGCGATGGAGGTCTGTTCTCCTCCTGAGCAGGACACATCAGATGGACATTTCTATTTCCCTACCGTCAGTAACCTTCAGTGTGAGGAGGAAATGCAACAAGGATCCTGCTCCTTATTGTCACACTGGAAATTACTGGAGGGAATGAGTAGAAGCCTATGCTGGACCCTGATTGAC